CTCGTTCAAAGTTAGCATTTCGTTAATTGTTAGATCGTTAAATTATGATCTTGTTAACAATTATAAACTTTCAGTTTGTTTTTGGTATTTTGGCTGACATGCTTCTTACCAGATGTTAGACATTAGTTTTATATTTATTTTGAATACGGAATGTTGCAGGTTCTGTCTTCTAAATCAAAGGACGTACGGCTGATGTGATCGGTACATAGGAGGTGTTTACTCCTTACGGGCACCTGTTGCTCGTTATTAAAACTTGATAAGGTTCTGACGTAAGATCACGCCTTACAGATTTCAGAGGGTCCGTGTTTTACGACCTAATTACAGATTTGTAATGATTGCAGATTTTTTGAATCCGATCACTGTTCGTTTTTTCACATTTTTTGTTCACCAACTAGACAGAATAAATTTTATCTGCAGAACGGATAGTTATATTCGATAAATCAAATAAATTAAAGGAGCACAAAAAAATATTTTGTCTTCATCTTCTGTTACCTGTATTTTATTTGTAAGATTGAACATCTTTCCTTGTACAAAAGTGAAAACTGGTACATGTAGTGCCAATACCTTTTCACAGCAAATTTAACACCAATTTACGAGAGACCATACCAACAAAACTCCCATCTCAGCCCTCTCTCTGCTTTATACGTCGTTTAATACAAAAGGCATGACCTTCCTGCTCAATTTTTATTAACTCTTATTGATTCTTACAGAAAAGTTCGAAACCAATCTATAAAGATGTGTGAATTTTGGTCCTTAGTGGCACCCATTAATTATGTATGATTGTTTGGCAGAAAAACTCGGAATTTCATTGAGACATCCCAATAAACCAATCCTCAAAAAGAAAATAAATTTTATGCCTTTTTTGACGATTAAAGAATTTCTGTGCATGCATTTCTAATAAAAGCCAACACTTGATTTCTTTACAACAAAATACGCATATATAACCCATTTATAAATACGTTGTAAAAGCATATTAAAAAAATCCTACAACCGTGTTTCATCGTTTGTTCTATTCTTAGCTTAAAATTAAGTTCACTGAAAGCAATATTGTATTCTTCTAAAAACCCTTAAATGTAGGGTGAGAATCCTAAATTATGTGATATTGATCAAATACCGGTAGAAACTAATGGTTTGGCGAGGAAGAGAAATGCCAGAAATTGTTATAAAGCAATCCAAGCGTTACTAAAAGAAACTCACAACTGCCCGCTATCTTTAAAATGAAAAAAAAAACTTAAAACAACTGAAGTAAGAATATCTTTATATGATTTGTAAACAGTGGTTATGATAAGCAGTGATCGATTTAATAAATCCAATAATCAATTCCAACCAATCAAGAACGGGGTCAAGATATGGACCCATGGAAAACCGTTGATGGGATAATTGAGGTGTCTGAAGGTAGTACATCACCTGTCGGTCGGTCACACACGTCGTGAGCATCATGTATTGATATGTTAACAGTTTTTCTGTTCACGAAATTTTTAAATAAATTCTGCTTCATAAGAGTTAGAAATACCGGCTAATAAAGAGCACAGTTAGTGCCCATTAGAATTCCAACAGATTATTTAAAGACTTAATGCTTTGCTTATGTGGAACAACATCTTCTAACAAACTTTATTTTATAGTATACAAATGTCTTCTAATAAAATGTAATGCTAGCTACGCAATCAAAAAATCCAACCCACTCCAAATACATATTTTCTTTCAATTCTGCTTAGGTATGTGTGAAAATGTGATTTACCGTAGCCCTGTTTTAAAGATTACTAGTATCCTAAACAACTTTGCGTCCAGATTAGCTATCATTGGACCAGTGTCCTGGAGATGTGAAGAGTTACAAATCACAAAGACAGGTAGAATACAAACAAGCTATGAAAAGATTTGCTCACTTGTACCCTCCTTTTAATTAAATAATGTTTGAAATGTTATTATTCCCATATTAAAGGGAAAAGAGGAAAGTATAGAGAATTAGAGCAATATTCTGTTAAAGATGTGTTTGTTTGTTTCAGATACCAGAAGAGCTTATGCGATAGGAAATAAAAATTTTTAAGAACAGCAAAGCCATGATTGGTCATAGGTATATGGAAGCATCCGCGGGTAGTGTAGATTAAAGTATGTTCAAATCATGACCCCTGGAGCAAGGATGGGGCCATTATGGATGATCAAAGTTTTAAGTAGGATTACATAGAAATATCTTTAAAATTCTTCTTCCTCAGAACAGCAAAGCTGTGACTGGTCATAGTTATACGGAAGCATCCTCAGGTAGTGTAGACTCAAGTATGTTCAAATCATGACCCCCGGGGGTAGAGTGGATCCATAGGTGATCAAAGTGTTACTAGGAATACATAAGGAACATTTCAAAAATTCTTCACAAGAACAACAAAGACATGTTTGGTCATAAATAAAAGCATTAAAAAAGGTATTGTAGATTTACATTTGTTCAAATCATGACCAAGCAGGAGAATAGAGGAGCCATTAAAGGGGTTCACAGTCATACAAAGAAACATAAAGGATACATCAATAAAAGTTTTCATCTTATCAACAGCAGAGCCATTATCTGTAATATTAGTTCAAAAGTATCCTAAGGAAGTGTAGATTTAAATTTGTTGAATGCCCATTTCCTTCAACCGCTTTGATATTTAAACTTTATCAACACTGAACTCATCGTCGGAACCCACGGGTTTTCTCTCCGTTACAATGTTCTGTAAGGGAGAGAAAACCCGTGGGTTCCGACGATGCAGTGAACTGATTCTTCTTTTTCCCAGCCAAAGTGATCAGGTGAGCGATATGGCCCCTTTACGTCTTGTTTTAAAACTATCTAACAGTTTAATTCCGATTTCAATATAACTGAAAGTTATGTCGGTTATCCCAAGCAGAACACGGACTCTGCCATTATAATCACATTGAAGGCGGGAGTATCATTTTGTGAGCTCAGTAATCGCAGTACCTCCAGTTCTTTTCTTCTTCGTGAAATATTTATTTTTTTTCTTCAACAATTGGGAACAAGAATTACCACTATATCATTAGCCCATGTCTTTGTGCATATAATCTTTAATTTGTCCCGTCTTTTCTTGCCAATCATTATTTAGGAATGCAGTCAGACAGCTGCTATTACTCGACGAAGCCTGAATTTTTTTTTTTACGTAAAACTTAAGTCATAAAATTTTAATACGTCTTTCTTCCTAAATTACATGCATCATATTTACTCTGTGTTTTTTTTTCTAAATAATATTGCCGTGTTATGTCGAAAAGAACCAATATTTGAATAATTTATTGCTGACTTAATGATATTTTTCATTTTAGATTTGCTAACCATGTATCCTTTATATCTGAGTATCCCTTTATGTTATAACATTATGTATTCTGCCGTTGATCCTGTGTAACGGGAATATGTCCATCATGGCTTCCATGAAACATATTTATCAAGATTTGTCATAATTGTAATAAACAGTTCAGAAAACATCAATATTAACAAATATGTTGGTGATACAAGGATATCAAGAATTTTGTTCGTTTAGAGTCAACATTTCGTGAATTTCTCAATACAATTACTTTCTAACACAGGGTCTTTTGGGTCAAATGTTGACTTTCTTACAGGTTGTTGTGTAAGATGAACAAGAAGTAATCGGGAGGTGTGACTGATCGGAGGAAATATCTACTCCTCCATGACACCTGGTCTTCATTCCGTTTTCAGAGGGCCGTTTAGGCTAAACGTTAATAGTTTTTATTAATTAAATTTTAATTTTGGTAACTGTAAGTTATTGCTTCAATACAGTTTTGTATCATAATTCTGAATTGAAAATTATATAACACTTCAAAAACAGAACTATCACAACACTGACACAAAAGATAAATATTTATCAGCAATTTCCCTAAGATTACACATAAAATCATTTAAATATTATACATAGAACGATTGAACATTCATTGTAACTTAACCACAACATACGTTTTCCAAGATTATGAAATAAAGTGGTTGACCCAATACTATCCATTTAAGAAATAAAATATCATTTTCTGAGTTTCATTGGGGTATGACATGAAGTCGGTCACGTGATCAAAATCAATAACGCCCTTCGGGCGTTATAGTTGATTTGATCACGTGCCGACTTCTTGTCATACCCTATGAAACTCTAAAAATGATATTTTATTTATTATATTTATATTTGACGTTTTTAGTCGTGTTACAAAGAAATATATGCATTATTTAGACTCAGTGTTGGAAATGCAACATAAGGTTTCTACGACGTCATGTGACGTTACAATCGGAAATTTCCAAATGGCTCCTGGAGTTTGCTTTTTACACTCAAGAAAGTCTGATCATACATTTCAATTTTATTAGCATTGTCATATAAGGAAAGACATCAGCAAATGTAAATATTAGTGTTTATAACCCCCGTTTAAAAATGGGTTGTGAAAGTGATTGGGGTCCGTCTGTATGCCCCTTTCGTGCATTCTTAATAAATGAGGGTACCATCACTTTTTTTTCAATTTATCCTATACCACTGAATATAATCAAATAAGACTCTCACATATACATTGCTACACAGTATCATTGTACATCTCTATCGGACAGATATTTGGGGTTTCTCATAGCTAAACATACTGCTATTCCTTCTGTAACTTTGGGGGTAACCATCCAATCCGCATCTCCTTTTACATGTATAACACAGATATTTGAGGTTCCCTTGGCCAAAAGAAGATTGAAATCGGATGTATCATTTTGAAAGCTTAGTAAACCATCTCAGTCTCTCTAGTCGGATATGAGTTCTATCTTGTGATTGTGAGGACGAATCAAAACACTTTTCTAGTTTATGAAACATGCAGATTTTACCTAGGAGTAAAATATTGAAATTTTTACAGTTAGAAAAAATACTGGTAATCCGTATTTATTAAATGTGCTGGAAGATTGGAACTTACCTGTTTAATTCAGTTTCCTGAAATGAACTTTATCTTATATAATTACCTATACTTTTTAAAACAATTGCTAGACAGAGTTTACTCACATTTGCAGTATACGAGCGTCGCTTTCTCATGGTATATTCTGATTTATCTTCCGTAAGGTTCGTGTGAGAATTTGCTGTAATACGGACTTCCGGTCCATCTTGGAAGTCGTCTTTTTTACATTGACCACCAAGGTAACTTGTGTACCACATCATTATCATTAGTAACGTTACTGAGCAATTGATAAATAAAATTCCATATAAAATCTTTAGATGGAGGGATATCCTGTTAACGCTGTTTTCCTCACGAGAACGATATTTATCCATTTTTGCATCGTTAAATAAAAAATCCTAAATTGCTAATCATTGTGAGTCTTCAACTGACAAGAAACTTTACAGCTTTCATTGATATATTAAACCGAGCATTCTGCCAAAATAACACTTGCAGAAATGCCGTTTATGAAATTGAGCACGGATGCAGTTATTGGACACTTCAATGAGAGATACATTACAATACATAAGTTAGTTCCTAACTGAGCACGGCGCCCAGATTGATAATGCACTGAGAGCAGATAGCTAACTTCTGGAACTATTCTCTATGTACACTTCGTGATAAATCAACTCGCGCTCGGCCGTGGAACAATCAATACTTAGGTGATGACTCTATAGACTTTTAAAATTAAAGACTTTTTGCGCAAATCTAATTGCTGTCGTAGTTGAAAAAATTCAAGAGAAAATAACTGAAAAAACTGACATAGAAGGTATTACTGAGTCCGATCTTTTCTAAAACTGGGTTACACATTATACGTTGCCATTATCTTTAATAATAATAACTCAATTTTGTTAAGTGTATGGAAGTAAGCGAGGCTGTTTTCAGAGAGAAGTTTAGCTCACCTGAGTCGAATGTTCTCAAGAACCACCATTTTCAACAAAACCTGCCACAAAACATTCTTTGGTAATTATGACTTGTTTATTTTAATTAAGGATATCATAAAGAAATAAAAAAAGCATTTAAAACACTTACTTCGAATACCCACGAACCAGAAAAGATGAAATGTGACAGCTGAAATACAATAGTGTAGATTAAACTTCCTCCAATCAAGACCCGGGTGAGGGTACGGCCGCAATGGACAATATTTTTTATTAAGAAATATATTTGATAAGTCTTTTTAGAATTTTTTTTCCAAAAACAACAGAGTATGAAAAACATATTTACATGGAAGCATCCTCATGTAGATTCAAGTTTGTTTCATTAAGATTGCCCGGGGTCACAATGTGTGATTCGAGTTTTGCATAGGATTGTATAGAAAAAAATCAACAACAAAGAAACAGTGTAAAGTCGTATGGAAGCATCCCCAGGTAGTGTAGATGTAGTTTTGTTCCAGTCAGACCCGTGTTGGACCACAATATGTGATCATATATAGAGATACATGTACTGTAAACGTATAACATTTGGCTGTGTATTCTTTTTAGCGCCTTTCGCGGACCACAATACATGCTTTGTGTATAAAGGTTTATGTAAAGCATATATAAATCTACGCCAGAAAATTCACATGTATATAGTATATAGGTCAAGGCTGTGAGTGGGAAAGGTCGATTGTCCTTACTTCGCCATGTTGAAGTCATCAAAAAGGTAATCAACTGTTTTGGTACATGTATACCGATATGTCAATCAGAAAAATGTATATTTGAATTTTAAATCCCTTTTATAGATGCAATGAAAAAAGAAAACAACTTACGGGCAAGAGAATAGAATTGCTTTTGTAATAAACGTGGTATCATAAGAGGGGAAAAAAAATCTTCGATCGGCCTCCCAAAAAGAGGAAAATTCTTCAAATTCAAACTTTTTGGGAAGTATGAAGGTCATTTAAAGGGTAAAGGAGCCTTTCAGTGATCATTTTTGTACTAAAGCAAATGTTAATATTACGTTCACAGAAAATCTGCAATCCTCCTCCCAAACACACACACACGTACTTCACCCATGATTCTTTGTGTCCGAAGTTTATGAGCCAGGTTCAGGAGAAATAAATTTCTAATACTATTGGTAACAATTTGGAATTTCTCGATCTTTTTTAAGTAAAATTTGAGAAAAATAAAGTCTTATATTTACTTTAAAGGTGCAACGACGGCGTATTTGTGCTATATCGACAATGTAGAAAAAAAATTAAAATCGTTGTAACGATTTAGAAAATCGTTTGGACGATTTTTTTCTCTTCTGATTCGGAACAGAAGCGTACTGCATCCATAAGAAAACTGGTAAAGCAGAGAAGTCCCTTCGCTGCTGGCTAGGCTATAACAGGTAAAGAAACACTTATAATATAAAATTGTATCTTGTTAATTAACCTGTATGAATATTGTTGTAATGTTAAAATTAGTAAACCATCATATCAGATTACTCGAAGTACATTCACAATATTTTAATGATCACTTGTATAATCGGGCTCGACACTCCATCAACTGCGAAAACAATTTTACGGCGTGTTTCAGGACGAAATCATCATCATGCCTACAAATGAGGAAATGTACAATTTTCTGCAGAAAAGGAATGTGCCAGATGAAAATCTGGAAAAGATGAAGGATGAAAAGGTGGGTATTACTCGTGAAATTGTTTATTATCATGTCTCACTGTCACAATTACGGCATGGGAGGACATGGGAAGGGGGGGGGGGTTTCCACTTGTCCTGGAGGCTGGAATACGTCGTATAGCGCCCGTAACTATAATTATATATACTCAACAAAAAAAGAAACGTATATTGTTTTACCTTTTTAAAATGGAGGCTGGACAACATGAGGTTTTAAAACCCAAGTGTAGTGCCCGTTAAACATCTTTATAATTATATATATCGGATGTCTATTTTCGTATATTTTGGATATATGCGTGCCTGTTAAACCCATATTTAAGATTTGAATTTCATTTCTGCCACGCCGAAACAAAGATTCTGTCTATATATGTCATTGAAAACAAAATTTTGTAAAATCACTGGTTTGACAACCAGACAGGACCGTCAGACCCCCCCCCCCCCCCTTCAGCACCTCATGCTATTCAGAACTTTTAAAAACTGCTGCACAAATTTCTGGATAATCCATAAAAGTGCAAAATTGTTCGTAGATTGATAAAAACAGCACTACAACAGTTTTTATGCCCCTTGATTTGGGGGCGATGAAAATGACATCAACTTGAATTTTCATTTGCACATAACATGTTTGATTTTAAAACACATTAAAAAATCGCTTAAATAAAATAAGGTTTAAACAAAACGATTTAGCAATATATATGTACATATTTACGATTTAACAATATATGTCACAACATTTTGTAAAATCACTGATTTAACAAAATTTCTGGATACAAAAATTGTTGTAGTTGATAAAAACAATACAATATCTGATAGCATTAAAACGATTTAAAAAATTGTACAATTTCCTAAATTGTACAAACGATTTCCTAAATCATACAAACTATTTTAAAAAATCGTGCAAACGATTTAACAAATTGTATAAACGATTTAACAAATTGTACAAACGACTTAACAAATTGTACAAACGATTAAACATATTGTACAAACGATCTAACAAATCGTACAAACGGTTTCCTAAATCGTTCAAACGATTTTTTAATAATTTTTCTACATTGTCAATATGGCACGAATACGCCGTTGTAAGGTGCAGATAAATATTACGTATTATTTTATGATTGAATAATTTTTATTTCTCTGATTGGCTGCGATCCAGCAATGAAGAAAAATTACTATATTTTATTTATCCGCACGCAATCTTCCAGGTGAATATATAGATTTGTTTTCTCTACATTGGTCTAAAAATAGACCGGGAAAATTCCAATTTGATACTTATAGTTTTGAGCTACTAGAAAATTTCAAGTGAAAAGACTTCGCCCTGATAATCCCCCTTTTCAAAATCTATCCAACAAAAGAGCTTGTTGACATTTCTTTCTTTCTTTTTGCCTAGCATCTGAAGTCAATTTTACATTTGAAAATTCCCAAATTAGTACATCTCAAAACTCTCCTATAAACCCTTGGCCTACGGTAAAGTCAAAATTGTTTTCCGTCAGCTTGGTACGCTCAGATTGCGTCATCGCCAGAAATAAAGACACCGTTAAAAAAAATTAAATCAAAGTTTTTTCAAGAATAATTAAGAAGCAATAATTGAGTTATGTTTATTCATTATTTATAGAACAAATCTGAAGCTTCAATATAGATTCTTAATCACATATTTAGAAGATATTGGATGACACCATGGCTTTTCATAGAATTGAATGTTATCTTACGGATCGTTGTTTACTTGCGTTTTAAAAATTCCCAATTAAAGAGTGAAGATGTATTTTTCCCCCCGATTATGTATGATAAATGTGCTTTAACTTTTCTATCGTAAACTTCCCTTACTTATGCAACATTCATCACCTGCATAATTATATCTCAGTTGATTCGAACGCAAGAGCTAAAGCCACGGTCTGGATTTCGCATCTCCAGAATGGGAGAGAATCGTACATTTTGGCCGTGGTTTGCGACGATGGAGCATGCTCTACTTAGGGACAATTTCTAAAACGAGCTAAATTATTGACAAACAAGTTGATGAAACAAAAATATCAACAGTCTCGTTTAAATCATCATTTCGTCATCTTCGCTAGCCAAGGGTTTCTGATGCGCTACTCTCCTCATAAACCCTTGGCATACGGTGAAGTCAAAAGATGGGATTGTTTTCCGTCACGTGATCTCGAATCTATCAGGTACGCACAGATTGCGTCATCGCCAGAAATAAAGACACGTGTTAAAAAAAATTTTCAAGAACAATTAAGAAGCAATAATTGAGCTATGTTTATTCATTATTTATAGCACAAATCTGAAGCTTCAATATAGATTCTTAATCACATAATTAGAAGATATTGGATGACACCATGGCTATTCATAGAATTGAATGGTTGTTTTCTTGCGTTTTTCATTTCCGAGATTAAAGAGTGAAGATGTATCCCGAACGCAAATATCGTCATTTACAATAAACAATTGCTGATTGGTCGACCTGAAATCCAATCAGAACTCTGGAAAAAAAACCCGATTTCTATGAACACCGTACAAAATTCACTAGCGAAGATGAAATTAGTAGGACCGGATATGTTTTTTCTTCCCCGATTCCCTCATTGCATTTAGCTCGGAATTCGGCAAAATGTCAACGAATAAGATGGCATTAAATAATTATTGAACTTATAATTGAATAATATAATAAAACAATCATTGCAGTTTTTTTCTGTCAGTACGCTGATTATTTTCGAAGTAAAAAATTCACCTCGCCTTCAGACTCGATGGATATTGTACTCCTTATATGGCTAAATCATCGTATTAACCTCTAAAACAATTGTGTAGTATTTTCCATATATTTTGGATCTCCTCCGTTCAGGGAGATAGGAATTATATATTCAATCATATTAAAAATTCTTTTATGCTCCGACACCTTTTACTTTGGAAAAATTTGTATTATCATATCTGGAAGTGTCAACCCATCTTCAGAAAACAACATAAATGATTTCGAAGATCGTGTTGCAATACATTGTTGGATCATAGAATCTTCACTA